AGAAGGCCCTGAAAGAGTGTCCACATATTTGGCACAAAAGTCCTCTTGATTCAAGAATGAACTGATAAGAATTTGGTAGTCAAAGGTCACTGTGACCTCACAAAGGTTTTTGGCCATTACTCAAGAATTCATACTCTAATTATGACAAAATTTCACAGATATGCCTAACAGCATAAAATGAAAGGATGACAATTAATGTCCAAAAGGTCAAAGGTCAGTGTCATTGTGACATCAAAATATTATACAAAAACAGTTTTCTGGCTATAAGTCAATGTCATGAATTAAAAAAACAGAAGGGGAGACATTTGGTCAGGTACTGATTTGGTGATGCTAATCTTCAAATTGTGTGATTGTATAGATCTGTGCTGTCGGATTAAAGAGATGTGTGAAGCATCCATGTTTTAGAATATGTAGCTTCTCTACAGCAACATCCATATTTGAAACATCGCCAACTGCCATGGCTACATGTGAGTCTGGACAGACATGGATGTAAACTGTAACTGCAACTTGACTGGTTCGCTGAGCCATCTAAGTGTCAGGTTGTAATTCTGATTTTATTTTTTGCACTTACTCCTCTTGCTTCCTCTTGGCTCCTCCTGCTGTGTTTTAACAGCTAAATGTCATCAAATAATCTCATTGGAGCCATTTCAGTAAAATTAGCCCCCCCCCCTTCCTTTCCTGTTGCCAATTCCTGTCTTTTGATTTCCTGGGGTAAACTAATTTTGAGTTGAACTAAGTCAGAATTAATTTCATTAAGCACTGATCAAACAGAGCTGGAGGTGTTTCCCTCCCTCAAATTAGTTTATACGACATGTTGGTGTCTACACAGGTTTGGGAATGAAAGGAAAAAACAACAGAAAAAAATGAGAGAGAGACTAATGGCTCATTTTCTGTCTGCTTTCTTCCCAGGCGAGCCAGCCTCCATGATTTCTCGGTACCCTTCTCCTGCAGAGTTGGATGCTTTTGCCCAGAGGACCGCCAACAGCCCGCTGTCCATCAAAATCTTTCCATCTGACGTGCGGGTGCCGCAACATAAACAGCTCAACAAAACAGTCAACGGCTTAGACACCACAGGCCAACGCTATAGCTCCTATTCACACCCGTACTCAGGAGTCTACCAGGGTTTGTTGGCCGTCGTCAAAGCCTCTGTGGTAGTCAAAGGTGTGGTGAAAAACTCTGAGGGCAGGAGGACTAAGCATTCAAACACCCAGACTTCTGTGGCACCGTATAATAATCCTCTGAATAATGGCTACACAGTCAGACACGGGCATAAGGCCTATCATATAAGCTCATGTAAGCCCCATGATGTTCCCATTGAGACACTTTGTTCTAGCACAGGGATGGCCTCCGGAGATCAGAGCCTGGCCCCCCAGTCAGAGCTGGCAGAGGTTCAAAGCCTGATGAGGCAGATGAGCAGAGTTCCCCACAGCCAGGCCCTGCAGCTGGGGGGAGAGGCTCGAGCCAGCCCCTCTCTGCAGGCTGTGGCTGCAGTGGCACATTCAGACTCAGACTTTGTCCTGGGAGTGCCGCCCCAGAGCAGTCTCGCATTTACGGGGGCAGTGCTACCCACACAGAGTGCAGACATAGCCAAAGCGGGGCACTTGGAGAAAGGAGACTACACAGTGTGGCAGCATAAACATCCAATTCAGCAGCAGCAGCCGTATCAGCAGGGAGCAGTGAGGATGTACAGTGTGAGTAACGGTGCTCCGAGGCACAGAGCTGCAGAGGCTGGGGTTGGCCAGTCTCCTGAAACCTGCCTCCCTTTGCCGTGCTCCTCGCAGCTGCCATATAGGCCGCATCCTGCCAGTGTGGGTGCCAGGCAGGAGCGAGTCAGCAGCTCGTCTCTGAACTGTGCCGCCATGCAAGGGGAGCTCTCCGTCGGACAATACTTCGCTCCTCTCTGGGACAGCATCATGGCCACCCCGAATAGCGACTGTTATACTTCTCAGGTGCTGGCAACGGGTACATGTGCAGCCAGGCCTAGAGACCTGGGGCTCTCCCATCCCCATCCCCATCCCCATCTCCACCCAAGCTGCCATCAACACCACCACCACCACCCACAGAGACACCAGCCGCAGATCCACCCTCCTCTTCCTCCTCATACCCAGGCCTACAGCACAGACCAAAACCTCTGTTGTGGGCTGCCTAGTACTAGCCTGTGCCACGCTGCAGTACTTAGCAGCAGCCTGCAGTCTCTGGAGTGCCTCATCAGTGAGATCCACCCTCCCTGCATCAAAGAGCGCATGCTGGGCCGTGGGTACGAAGCCATGGGGATGCCTCAGCTACTGGAGCACCACCAGCAAACCCACATCCAGCTCCCCATCTACAGATAAGACGCGGCGTGCTGCCACACAATGGGACGCGGACATGACAGACCTTTTATAGACATCTATGAGAATGAGACATGCCTTTTTAGTTTGTGCATGTACTGTATTTGTAGAAGGCTTTGTGTTTCAAGCCTGGAAAAGGTAAATGATAATCATGACTTAAGATACAGGTTTATCTTATGGACTTCTCATGTCTTATTTTTATATCTTAAATGGCCATCAGATATGCCTGCTGTTCCTCGTTTGATACTGATGCTGAGCACCCAATCAGAGTTTCCCATTTCATTTTGACTGTGTATTTGGCAGATGACTCCCCTGTAGGCCTTTACAAAAATTACTGAACTGGTATAATCGTTGGTACCCTTCTAAAAACTTAAATCTGGGAAGGATCACTGGTTACAGTTTTTGTGAATATATTGTATATTTTTACATAAAATGGCTTCTTTTTTATTTAACATTCCTTGATTATTAACTGGACTTTTGGTTGTCTGCTGCTTCGTTTTGTCCACTCTTCAGTGATTCCTGTGTTAACAAACATACGCAGTCAGCTTCTGCAGTATGTTGCAAATATCCTGGCCACTGTATGGGGAAGCATTTTGATCATTTGTATACAAATGTGAATATATATATTTTTTGTTATGCAGCCATAGACAAAGTGTAATTTAACCTGTAGTCATGCTCAGCACAATGTATTAGGACTTTTGCATATCCAAATCAACACTGTGGCAGTTCAGGCCAAGCGAGATGTGCCCTTCGCTTGTATTTTTGTTGACATTTTCTACATTTTTGGACATTTTTCTTGAATGAAATAATCTCTGGAAGGCTGTGACGCTGTCGCACAACACCTGGGTATAAACTGTATGAGTGCCATGTCAGAGAGCGGGCCACCTGAATCATTTACAGATATCTTCTTTGTAGGGCTATATATCTCTGATGGTGTGAGATGTATGACTGAGTAGGTCTTTGTGTGTCTGCACTGGTTCTGTAATACTATTTATTTATGTCAGCCTGTTGAGTTATATGTCAAACTGTCTCTATAATTATAAAGTGCAATTATTATATATGAACATGTGAGTGCTCTCCATGAAGTATGTTGTTGAAATAACTACATTTTGCAATGTATGACCCTGATCCCTCAACCCCCTTTTTTTGCCTCTTCTTAATAAGGATTGTCAAGTAAATTAAATTTTCTAAACCCAGCACATAGTTCGTGTTATTAGTTATTATGTGCCAGACATGCAGCCCGAGAAGATGGTTTTATTATACTCATGAATGATAAACTAGTTGTGGAAAGATGAGACATTTTCCTGGTGTTATTGCAAAGGGATTTAAGGCTTAACCACCTGGCAGATGTCTTTTTTTTCCCAGTCTCAGATCTCATTTTATTAAGATCTCTCTTTTCACTGGAGGATGTCAGCTTTATAATGTAATGTAAAACGATCCTTTGCTCAAAGATATTGTACTGGTTCCTATATAAATGAGTTGAAAGTGCTAATTCTGTTATCACGGTGAATTACGTTAGTGTGGATGGATGGCCGATGCTCAAGGAAGCCGTTGAATATTTCAAAACGCATGTGTAAATGAAAATATACAGGCCCTCTCTTTCTCTTATATTATATTTGTGTATGAAAAATAGATGCTTTCCTGAAGATAAATCCAGAGGAATATTACTGCTCACATTATGTAGAAATGCTGTTACTCAGCTATTGAATTGCTAATCTTCGATGGCAGCGTGCCTGCACCTCTTATTTTGCTTCATTTGTCCTCCTAAATTGGATGCTATAGCAGTAATGTGGTTTAGGTCACCATAGACATAAAACGCGCACCCATTTTAAGTAGTCCATTGCAAAACAAATAAGCTCGATGGCGTGAATAATGGCATTAGATGCACTGCTGGGAATAAAAACTGCAATATTCAATTGATGACCTCATTGCAGATAACAAATATTTCAGAGTTAAAGGTCAGTGGCTTTGTCATTGAGGCATTGTTGTAAATGATTTCCTGTCTTTAGCCTATTGTGCTCTGGTTTCGTTTGGAGCTTTTCCATCCTATCTATCAGCGGGGACAGGCCGGGCTGCTCTGCTGATAAACCTACAGGATTACAGACATGCTCCTCTTGCTCTCACTCAGAGACGATTAGCTCAGGCTCCTGAGGGAGAGGAACCAGAGCCACTCCGGCCTCTGGGACACACTTCAGATAAGTAAGACTGGGCAGAGGAATAGGTTGGTCGATCTGGGGGATTAGGAGACATGAAGAAGAGCGAGGATTTCCCTCCAATTTACTGCTGATGTTTGAGAAAATTTGTGTTTAAAATCATCCGTGTTAACATTTCTTTTCCTGCAATCAGCCTAAAAAATATTTGCGCTGAGAGCAAATTAAATCATGGTGCACCAAAAGAGCTTATGAAAATGCACATAGCTGCTCTTGCAAATTAACAAACGTATATCCGAACTGCTGTTTTGAGTGATTTAAGATCTCACTTGGCAAAGACTGCAACTGTATCTACACTGCATTTAGTGTATGATTTCAACTCGTGCATAATTTAAAATATTTCATGCAGTGCTGGCACCACAAATGTGATTAACAGACAAAAGCTGAATAAATACTGCCACCTAGAGTACAACTCATGAACTGTAGATAAGATTTTTATTAGTTAAGAGTAGTTCATTCATTTATTAATTCATTCATTTATTACTGAATTATTATTATTATTATTAATAATACATATCACACTTATTTTTGTCACACATTAAGATTTGGTGCTAAAAAAATTGTTCATAGTTTAAAATGCAAGAACAAACAGCCTATCTATAAGTATTTGTACAGAAAATGCAGATCTAATTAATAAGTTATTAATAAATGTCCACATGATGTGCTGTCTGCTCACATGAAAAACATTATTTGACATTGTAATGGTTATGTAAAAGAAGTTAAGTGAGTTCAGACAGGCTCAAAAAAGGCCGCAGAAGAATACATACAAAACATACACAAGTGAACCACACCTTCTGCAAACACAGACAAACCACTGACTGCACACAAGTTAAGCCCTCGGAGGAAAAATAGTTCTGGCTCTTCTTACTTTTGCTTTGCCGGTAAAATAGTATTGCAAATACACAGATACTGAGCTCACTTTGAAAACACTGTGTATCCGTACAGCATCACCAAGGCATACGTGGATTAATGCACACCAAAAAATGAACAGTTAAAATTTAAAATGACTACTGGAGGCTGCTGCGACGAGGTCAACAGCAGAGGTAACTCCATGGCTCAAGAGGCAGAGGACATCTGAATGTGAGGCATCATCAGAATTAGTTTTCTGTAATATTAACAGTACTTTCAGTCTTGTATTCCTCTTTGGTGTAACAGGTGAGAAGCCACCTGTTAAATGTCATAAATAAAGCAGCAACCCACACAATAACATCATTCTGCGTTAGAGTGAGAGCAGCACTGTTACTTCAACAATCCTGTAGTAACTTGAAATTATATACAAAAACAGCACACAACCTTCTGCTATAAGAATAAATTTAAGGCATTTTCATCATTTTAAGACCAAAATATACAATAATAAGATTTAGTAAGGCATAATCAAAGTAATAAATACCACACTCAAAGAAAAAAAAACACACAATCTTATTAAAAACACCTGTGAAAACTGGACTTGTCTGACAGATGTCCAGGGACATCAAACAGTGTAGTCCAGCTCTGCGTTTAGATCTGCGTACATCTCGTAGATGGCATCTACAGTGGCGGTGTAATTAACCAGGAACTGACGCACGTTTGCCAGACAGACCTCTTCTTTCACTTCCTCTCCTTTTGACAGAGCTTTGAGGAAGTTTGATTTGTAGGGAGCTGCAAGTAACGCTACCTGCAACGGACAAAAAGAAACATTTAAGATTATCACATATGTGAGTAAAATAAGAAAAGTACACTTTAATACATGGTGTGGGTAGGGCTGAGTGATAGAGAGAATCAAATATCACAATATTTTTGACCAGACACCTCTATATGGATATTGCGAGGATATGACAGGATTGACTATTGGTGCTTTCTGAAAATATTTACAAAATGTTTGATCAATAATCATCAATATTGTGGATATAATGACCAAGTGGGTAAAGGAGAATAATAAAATGACATCACTTTACTGTAATGAAGCCTTTAAAACTAGGCAAAGGAAGCACAATATTATGATATCCAAAATCTGAGACAATGTCTAGTCTCACTATCATGATATTGATATAATATCAATATATTGTCCAGATGTAGGTAGGGGCACAACATTAACACGTAAAGTATAATGCAATAGCGAAGAATATGGTGTTGCTGGTGAACAAAATAACAGAAACACCTTATTTAATGCAATCCATTAATTCAACAACACAAACTACAGCTTCGATTAGCTAGTGTGGTTATTATATTGCCTGGGGTGTCAAACATAGGCCCCGGAGGAGAAACTGGTGGCAAAAATATGCCTGGATATGGCCATCATGGAGGCGAAGCTCCTGGACCAGCTGGTGGTACTCCCCGTGATCCACCCTCTTTTTTAGTGTCTCATGTACCCACACAGATCTCAGTTTCTCTGTGCCTGGCAAAGTATTTGCTGACAGCCTCTCACCCTCAACCAGAGCTAGAGGAAGTACCCTCTGCCTGAAAATCTTAGGAACTAGATGTTAATTACTGTCATGTAACTAAAATAAATAAATGGTAGATTAATTATATGGGAAGGTTAGAATAAGGAGGTGAGTCCGTGTGGCGCGCGTCGTGTTTTGCAAATTGCGAAACTGTTTCTGTGTGATTGCGGCCAAAGAGGTGCCAGATTTTTAGGAGCAAATTAAACAGTGAGTAGCTGATGCATGTAAAATGCTGCATCAGAGGCTTTTCACCCTGACCACAATTCAGTTCTCTGAAAAAACAAATACATATTGTGGTAGGATACTGAACATTGTGCAAAAATATTGTCCAAACGGCAGCTTTAGAATAAAATAATTTGCATCACACTTCTATCTTGCAATAATAATGATGGAATCGTATTGCTAAGGCAGGAAATAGTTAAAGTGCTTCTTCAATAGCTTCCACTTTAGTGTGGTGTGGTGATGCCAGTATTACCACACAGGAGTGGAAATGTATGGAAAAACACAGGCACTTAAGGTCAAGGTGACACCCCCTGATTATACAATAAATTATTAACAATAACAGGAAAGAAGAGATTTTCTTCACATTGAAAATCCTTTGAACAACCCAGCCATGGTATTTCTTCAGTGCCTGTTCGTAGGCTTTGGTGACATTAACCCGAATTAGGTTGGGGTTGTTCTCATCCACTTCTCCATCTGCCAAACTCTGCAGCAGGATTTGTATGAAACGGAGACCCCTGCAGGAGAGACCCAGTATTTAAAACTAATACTGTAAAATACAGTTAAGCAGCTGAAAGTTCAACATAGAGTGTGACATAACATTAAGAGCAGGGAGTGCTCACCTTTTCAGCCACATCAGAGCCAATGTTGCTCCAACTTTAGGCCATTCCTTCGCATGGGCTTCTCGCTCTGCTACCACAATGTCCTGCAGGGTGATATACTTGGCAGGATCCTTCTGATACACTGCTTTAATTTTCTGAAAAATGCACATTTGGGTTGAGTTTGCATTGCACAATCTCCATGTCATATTTAAGTATTCCTAACAGTGGTATAAACACCCCAGTGCACAAGCAGAGGCATAAAACTACACAGACGCAGCTGTGTCTTACCATTATATTGCCATTAATGTCTGATTTGATGACTGAAAATACACTTGATCCCAAGCAGTCTGGAAGAGAAACAGACATTTGAGAGCAAAGCAATAAAATATGAATGACTTCATCACACATGTCACAGGCTCAGAGGGGAGAGGGAATACAAATCAGCCTTTAGGTACAAACACAGAGTGGGGAAAATGCAGTGAATGCATAGTGTCAGTTAAAGCACAATGAGGCCAATGTGTGCTCTGTCAATGAGTAAACAAAGAGTTTCTCTATAGGCTCAACTGCCGCAGCTGGTTCGTGACCCAGCAGCTCCACTTGTGGTATGTGTGAAATAACCACGTCCTGGGCTCTGACTGCTGACAAGTCAAACATGTCAAGAGGAACAAGTATGAACCGCGACAACACACACTCTATCATGGTAAGTTATCGAGTTTAAGCGGATGTATACTCACCAAAAAATGCAGGAATATGAGACACAGTCTCCAGGAACAACTTTGTGTCCACCGCCTTGTCAGGAGGTAGATCTTTGAATTGGTTATCCAGTAAAAGAGTCATGGTCCCCGCCGTGTGAGCGCCGTGATAACGCGGGCAGTCGCGAGCAGCTTTCGGCTGAGAAGAACCCGGAACTCTTGTCCTTGTCGGATGGGTGGGGAAGCGCCACCAGCCCCTATCACTTTCGTCCTTCTCCAACAGGTGGGGAATTATACATGGGCGTGTTGAAAACCGCCGTTTGTCCTCGGTGCGTACACAAACACGACAAAGAGCCGCTTGAGGTATGAATTATACTTTATTAAACCTAAGGCAGGGATTGTTTTCAACCACAGAGGCAGTGGGAGGCTAGAAGTTACAGGGAGTTAATGTCAGGGTTGGAACCAGAGGTGGAAAGTTACTGAATACACGCAGTCATTTCTGTAACTACTGTGGAAAGTAGCTAATCAGTTCTTTCGGTTTATAATAATGTAGCACAGTAGATTACTCACTTATGGACCAATAAGAAAGACTTAAAGGGAGACCAGTGTTGGAAAGTAACTACTGGAACTACTGGCCTAATCAGGAAGATTTGAGATGATACCAGTGTTGAGGAGGAACTGGTTAAGGTGGCTGTTTGACAAAAGTTTCATAGTCTTGCACTGATAACATCAGTGCAATAAGGAAAAAAAAAGTAGGCCTTATTGGTGGCTCATCACAAGACAGTCTGTATGACTACTTTTCTCAGCAGACCACCATACAATAAATTTAAAAATATAGGGTCACAAAATAATAAACAAAATAGGTAAAAAGATCCAATAGTTGACAAAGGCAAACTCCTAAATATGAGACATAGTAACTAGTTACATGTAATTAAATTACAAAGTGAATACTAAGATACTACTGGGAAAAATATGTCATTAAATTGAAGTTATTAATAAAAAATATTTTACAGTAATAATACAGAATATGTGACATATAATGTTCATTCTGTTGCTTTGCATCTTTTTGCTATTTCTGGACATTTTTCAGCTTTACTGTCCTATTTAAAACACCTGTTACAAAAGTAATCAAATGCAATAAGTTACATTACTTTGATTAAGTCATTTAAAAAGTTACATTACTTATTACTTATCATTATTAACAGGGTAACTAGTGATCTGTAACCTATTACATTTCAAAAGTAAGGTTCCCAACACTGAGCGAGGCTATGTAATGTGAAAAAAGAAGTAGCATATTCTTTCTCTTACAAATGAAAAGAACTCATGAATAATAAAGTGCACTGTTGCTCAGTTCATTACACTCAGGGGTTTTGCCAAAACAGTCTTATGTGGTCTGGTAAGGCCTCCAACTTATTGGGACTAATTTTGCAAACTTTATATAGATGTTGAAGTGTAATGGACATTTCTGAGTTTACTGACAGGGTTCTGACTGTTCCCTACTTGGGCCACTATTACACTACATTTTAGGCTTTTACCATTATACTATGTGGCTACAGTTTTGCAATAAGAACATCAGTGGAAAAAGGAAAATGAATGACGGGATCCCTTATCAGACCACCATACAAAGGATAAAACAAAAAATATAGTTTTAAAAAAAAAAGATTTCAACAAAATAGGTAAAAATATACATTAATCAACAAAAGCAAACATGAAATGTAGTTGAAAGATCAATTTTAAGTCTTTTTTAAATGATCAGAAGACACTATAATTGTGTAATAACCTCTCCTGAATAAGATTTAAGGAAAATTTAAAGAAACACTTCACCTACAAAATTACCGTTTGTAAAACAATTAGTCATGCCATGCTACCTTGAATCATTAAGAAAAATTCCCGGTACTAAAAAACCTTACTATTGGAGTGTGGCTTTGAAGAGAGCATATATAAGTCTCACTTTAAGTTTAATTCTAATTTAAGTTTAATTCTAATTGTAAGATTTATCAAAGATTCATGTGTTCAGGAAGTACTGAGCTTACAACTTGATAAATGAGATCTGGATTGTTCTGCACGAGTTATGAGAGAGTTTGCAAACTGATGCTTTGATATAGTTTTGCTGTTGTTAAATGTGGTCGCCTATCGATCAATGAATTCATTAGCCATTTTCAATGGAGACATGCAATAAAAGCAAAGTTTTCTTCACAAATTAATGGTAACACGGCATAACTATTGATTCACAAATGGTCATTTTGTGGGTGAAGTATTCCTTTAATACTTAACCATGACACACTGCTGTTTGCGTGGAACGTTTTCTACCTCATTAGGTAGTCTTCTGAGAAAGCTTTTAAAGATGACAAGAAGTTTGCCACTTCAGAAATTACCACTGAATGTGAGAGAGATTGCAAATTCATAAAAGAGTTACAGCTGCATCAGCTCTTTCATGCTGACCAGATGTAACTATGCAACCGTCTTCAAAAGTGACACTTTATACTTTGCATTGAACATCTTCCAACACAGGTAACCTTACTTCTACTTGAGTTAACTGTACTCTTCTTGTGCTGGGTATTCTGGTTGTCTTTCCACCCCTGGTTGAAACTGATCTGGCTCACAAGAACGAGTGACACATTAGACCCGAGATCTACAACAGGTACTCTAACTTTGAGGGCACATTGACTTTATCAGTGATTGTAAACCATAGCTGTACGTATGTGACCACAGGCAGCATCTAACACACTGGAGTTACAGCAGCACATCAAATAAACAGAGATCACAAGTTGCCCATAACTTACTGCCAGCTGAGATGTCCCAAACCTCAGAACAAAAGTTAGTCTGTGCGGAGCATCATGTTAAACAAAAGCTTATGAAAATAAACATTGATATTTTCTTACAGGTATGACATACAGTTTATAAATAGAATAGCATTTGGGTTATTTTGATAAAGAATTACATTGATACATACATCTTATATATTTGCATAATGCTATTAAAATTGATTCAAAATGGATTTCACACGGGCCATCCAGGCCATTTCTGTGACAACTGCGCCCACACACGCATACACACACACACACCCACACCCACACCCACACCCACGCACACAACATCAGAAGTATGGCTGTAACATTTCAACTCCAAAAACTACCGATACTTTACTGAACAGTGGAATCACCTGCTGGAGCTGCTGGATGGAATGAAGGTTTGCACACTCTTGGTACTGCTGGCCTTACACGGTGCTCGACGCACTGAAGCTACTTTTATAATCACAGTTTGCTCACTAAACAAACGTTTAACTCTAAGCAAGTGGCGTCACAATGGTTCGAGATTAAAATACTGTCATTGCATCTTAAAAACATTTAAAAATGACTAAAAGGAAAATAAAAAAATGATGTCAGTGGTGTAGATTAAGGTTAATCTATTCTGATCCATGACGCCAGGTGTCTCGCAGACTTTTGTCCCCTCAGGCAGCTCAGCCACGCCAGACACCCAGCTTCAAGGAGCACAAATGATGACCTCTGTCTGGACAAGTACAATGTAGGAGGCTCATCTGCTTGTTGTTCTAATTGCTTTGTATATACACAACATTGTACTGTTGGATTTTTTGTGGATTATCTTTTTGTGAGGGAAGGAATAGTAACAGCTTCTGTCCTACAGCATAAAGATGTTTGATTACCATGATACAAAAACAACAAAATAAATACATGTTTTGATAGACCTGTAATTTTGCATCTTATTTTTTTTTTTTAAAGGAATGTACGGAAATGCTTACACTGATTAATTTGGGAAAACAAAAAGATGGTGTTAACACTGATTTAGTTGAAATTAGGAGCATCATTGATAATAAATTATACTGGTATCAGCAATGTCTTTGGGTTTTTAGTTAGTTGTTGTTTTCTTTGGTTGTCACAGTGACAAGTTGCTTGGCGGCTTTGGCAATGTCATATGCGCACTGGATGACCTGCTGAGTGACCAGCTGGATGTCCGATGGGCAGGGGTTGTGCTCCGCGGCCTTTTGGCACTCTCCGTGGAGCCGGCTGGCGCTCGAAGTGAGCAGACACAGAGACCCTCGCACGGTCTCCGAGGACGGCCTCTGTGAGGGGAAAGGAGGGATGATGGAGACTCGATAAGGGACTGACTTGACAACCCCCATAAATAAACCCTCATTGTGGTCAGCGGGCTGTGTGTGTGTGAGTAAACATAAAACAAAGTAATCCAATAAATGGTAAATATAAAACGAAGTAATGCAATGAGCAGGGCCCTCCCGATCCAAACAAGTAATACAAGATTGCCTTTGGCTGTTTTCAAACAAACAACAAATCCCTTAATTGCTCGGGGGGAGGGATGTCAAGCTGTTGGTAGGAGTCATCTTACCTTGGGAAACAGGGCGGCCATCTCTGTCACAGCCATGCAGATTTTCTCTGAACAAGGCAGGAAGCTGCGGGAGATAAACACAAAAGGCTGAATGGGTGACCAACCACTCCTGTGCAATATATCAAGCATCGATGTGAAACATCTACCAGTTTATGCAAATTCCCATTTAAGTAAACAGTTAAAATGTCTGCCTATCTTCTGTATGATTACGTGACTGAACTGAGATAGCCAGCTTGGGTGAAATGTGTCACAAAAGGTGCTAAGAATAAGCAAATACAACGCGGGTTAGTCGACAGCGCTGTGTTAAGGCTTCAAAATTAACTGCCTTAATTTCAGTCACACCAGATGAAACAATAAATACATCAACATCATGACTTATACTCAAACTGAAAGCACTTTTATGGGCCACAGAGAGCAATATCCTACCAGAGGAAGCCATAAATCAAGCTGTGAAGGCCTGCATTAGACCTGGAGAGATAACTATAGTATAAATATTAATTATTATACTATTTGTGCACATAATGTTTGGTTTGGAGCCACTTTGTAACAGTCAGCTACAACATTCCTCACAAAATTAAACACAAAAAAGGGCAACATTTCCATGAAATAACCTCATTAATACCTCTTCATAAAGCGGTCAGTGTCCATTTAAAAATATTTATACATATATTTAAACTGGAAGGAAGTAAAATGGTTAATATCTAACATCAAGATAAACAAAACAGGACAGTACAGTAATGTATAACTTAAAAACAGGAAATGAATACATGGATGAAACCTCATTGACTAACTCTCTGAGGATTTGGCAGCTCACAGGGGAATACATGACCGTGTGGTGTTTCCTGTCAGCTGTGTTTAAAAACCCAAGGCCTACC